AACCTGAAAATTGAATTAATAAAGGAAAAACCTGATTTTTAGAAAGTTAAAACTAAACATCTGGTTCAGCCTAATTTTCCCTATCGTCCTCCCATACAATATACAAAGAATTAATCCAATTCGGTTGAATTTTTTCATTCATTTCTTTCGTCTTCTTTATGCGCATTTTATTAATTTTTTTTAAAAGTTTTTTATTTGACTCTAACTTATTAATTTTTTTATTTTTAAAAACACTTTTCATTTGAATTTAATTTCAATTTTTTAAAAGATTTTATCTTTACAAAAGTTAAAAATGATTTTATTTAAATAGTTAAATAAAATTTAAGCTATGTTGCTATCTGCAGTATGTAATTATGATCTTGAAACTCATTATTTTGTTGCAAACTCCAAAAGTATGTATGAAGTTCCTATAAATCTATTAAATAAGACATGTCTAGTTGAAAATTGAAAGCATGAAAAATATTCTAATTTTTGCATTTTGAAAACTTGAAAATTGTATAATTCACTAATTGTATGAATTATTAAGTAAATATAATATTTTATAATTTTAAATGTTTGATATGCATTATTTTTAAAATAATATTAAAAATAAGAAAATGTTTTTTTTCGCCTAAGCCTCGTATGTGTTCGCTTAAACTCCTAAAGTTTGAAACTTCATCTCCACACATAATCACGCTTTATGATTTTTAGAACACTGAATTAATCTACTTTGTATATTATTTTTGTACATTAAGCCCCGTTTGATCTACATTATTATCTCATTAAAATGAAAAATATGACTGTTATTCATCACATCAATATTTAAATTCAAATTTTTTATTTCTTGTGTGGGCCCCAATAACGGCCATATTTTTCATTCTCATTCTATAATAATTTGACTCAAACAGTGCACAAGTGCTCGTTTGGCTACCATCATTCTATATTATAATGAGAAGAATAGTAATTTTTTTGAAAATATATTATTAAAGAAGAAATAATTTTTTTAATTTACTTGTAATATTTTTTTATTGAAAAATATGTTATTAATAAGAAAATAAAGAAATTTAATTATAATTTAATGGAGAATAATAAGGGCTAAACGAGGATTAAGTTTGGCATCCCCCTATATGTAAGAAATTTAGGCCATACTTGATTTTCATTATTTCAAAATTCACTTTCTACCACATATTTTCAAAATAAAATATTTTACACTTAAATATAATTGTTTTCTTATTTTTAAATCATATATTCTCCAATAATTTACCATTATAAAATTTATTTTAATAAAATAATAGACATCAAAAGGGACTTATATTAGTTAGCAGTCTCTATGTTCTAGTCAACTTACAGCAGAACTGCATGTCGGTCTTGGAACCTTTTTTTTTCCTTGTAATCTCTGAAGTTTGATTTTTCAATCATGGTACCATAGTTCGTGAAATAATATTTGACATAATCTCACACTATATTTATCATTGAAATATTTTAAATACAGTTAACTTTTTCATCAAATCATCTTCTGCTACCTTGAATTATGTCACTACATCTGTTACATTTTTTCTGACAAAATGGCAAAATTCTTAATTTTTCTAAAGGATTATCTATGACAAAGATAAAAATATGACAAGACGACTTTCTTTCACGTAGAGCATTCTACAGGAAAAGGTGAGAATTTTGAAGAATGACTCAATTTCGCCGTAGGCAGAAAAGTATATATACTTAAATTCTCATTTTCAAGCAGAATAATTATAATCTATATCCAACTTTTACACGAGGGTAGTGAAATTGTAACAATTTTCGAACTAAAATGTGTAAGCTCACGTGTTTTCCTGCACGAATGGTAAATAAAGTGATTACGAGATTGAATTGTGGGTGTCGAAGTCCCTTGTAACTCCTATTTCTTAAAATTTAATTTTTTCAAACTCATTATCGACAATATGACCCACAATTTTCACTAACTTTTCAATTATACATTTCGTCAACTTTATCAAAATTTACCAAAAAATTATTTTTTACCAAATCCAAACCAGGCTAAATAAATTACCTATTTAAGAACTTTTTATTAAGTAAAAAAGGAACATAATTAAATATATTTAATTTGATCAAATATGGTTGATGTACTATATTTTCATGCACTTGCAAGTAAAAACTTCTCGTTTTTGGGTTGGTCATCGATTAAATATATTGCACGTAAATACAATTGTACTTAAATTTTCGTAATAATGAAAGATATATATGTGGGTATGAATAAATTAATGCCACTTTATAAAATAAAATAACTAACTTTTTATTGATCAAAGTTGAAAATAAATATATTTATAAAATAATTTTATTTTATATTAAAATAAATAACTTTTTAGTTATAAATAATAATTAAAAAAAATTGACATGTCGAAAAATATATTGGAAATGAAAGCTTAGCTCAGACTAACATGCGCCGGGGGTTTCCATTCCCAATACATTTTATATGCTACAAAATTAATTATATAATACCTCTAATTTATCAAATTAGGTGAAGAAAAATTGATTTAATTATGAACATTAATAAATTGTATAATGGAGTTCTCAATAGATCCAAATATATAAAAATTCACATATGTCAGAAAACATAAATTTGATCCACAATATTTTCAAAATACATTTTTCTCTCTCTTCTTTTCAATAACACATTTTTCAATAAAATAATATTACACGCAAATCGAAATTTTTCCTTATTTTTCAATTACATATTGTCCATCAATCGATTATTCTAAAATACATTTTTTAAGAAAAAATGGGACTTAAAACAAACTTATATGCATATAAGAGTTCAAGCATTACATGAACTAAGACCACCCACATTCTACATGTGGATGTTGAAATTTAAAAAGAAAAATTTCAGTCGATGTTGAAAACTTAAAATCATAAAAAAATCTTACAAAATACATATCGTATAATAGGTTCAACCTACTAAGACGAAGTGATGATGACTAATTTTACTCACGAACATTAGATATCCTTAGATGAAAGTGTGATTTTTCAGGTATTGTGTGTCGCTACCTTTTATGTAGGCCGGTTTGCAAGCAAAATTAAACATTTGTAGAATGAAAAAGATCCAAGCATACATATATAATTGGTACATAGTCACATGAACTCTTCTACTTTCAAATGCAGCTTCATATTTTTTATTCTTGACAAGGGGAGACTTTCGCATTAGGGTTTTTTATAATCTACACGGAGAAGTCACCGAGTTTTAGGCATGCCATGGAAGTAAACGCTAATTTTAGATGAGGAAATAGTAGGAAATAACCTTTTCATACTTGTATAATTCCACAATGACCTTTGACTAACAAATAAAATTAAAAAAAAATAAAAAATACTAAAAACATAACTTTTGTTGGAAAAAGCCCAAAATACCCTAACTTTATCAAAGGATCTCACTCAAAGCTATGGGCCGGCTAATAATATTTGACATAATCTCACACGATATTTATCATTGGAATATTTTAAATACAGTCAACTTTTTCATCAAATCATCTTCTGCTACCTTGAATTATGTCACTACATCTGTTATATTTTTTCTGACAAAATGGCAAAATCCTTAATTTTTCTAAAGGATTATCTATGACAAAGATAAAAATACGACAAGACGACTTTCTTTCACGTAGAGCATTCTATAGGAAAAGGTGAGAATTTTGAAGAATGACTCAATTTCACCGTAGGCAAAAAAGTATATATACTTAAATTCTCATTTTCAAGCAAAATAATTATAATCTATATCCAACTTTTACACGAGGGTAGTGAAATTGTAACAATTTTTGAACTAAAATGTGTAAGCTCACGTGTTTTCCTGCGCGAATGGTAAATAAAGTGATTACGAGATTGAATTCACAACCATGTTGTAAAAGAAGTCCTTATCAAAATTAAATTCTATGTGGGTGTCGAAGTCCCTAGTAACTCCTATTTCTTAAAATTTAATTTTTTCAAACTCATTATCGACAATATGACCCACAATTGTCACTAACTTTCCAATTATACATTTCGTCAACTTTATCAAAATCTACCAAAAAATTATTTTTTACCTATTTAAGAACTTTTTATTAAGTAAAAAAGGAACATAATTAAATATATTTAATTTGATCAAATATGCTTGATGTACCATATTTTCATGCACTCGCAAGTTACAAGTTCTCATGCATGGGTTGGTCATCGATTAAATATATTGCACGTAAATACAATTGTACTTAAAATTTCGTAATAATGAAAGATATATATGTGGGTATGAATAAATTAATGCCACTTTATAAAATAAAATAACTAACTTTTTATTGATCAAAGTTGAAAATAAATATATTTATAAAATAATTTTTATTTTATATTAAAATAAATAACTTTTTACTTATAAATAATAATTTGAAAAAATTGACATGTCGAAAAATATATTGGAAATGAAAGCTTAGCTCAGACTAACATGCGCCGGGGGTTTCCATTCCCAATACATTTTATATGCTACAATATTAATTATATAATACCTCTAATTTATCAAATTAGGTGAAGAAAAATTGATTTAATTATGAACATTAATAAATTGTATAATGGAGTTCTCAATAGATCCAAATATATAAAAATTCATATATGTCAGTACAGCATAAATTTGATCCACAATATTTTCAAAATACATTTTTCCCTCTCTTCTTTTCAACCACATATTTTTCAATAAAATAATATTACACGCAAATCGAAAACTTTTCCTTATTTTTCAATCACTTATTGTCTATCAATCTACTATTTCAAATGCATTTTTAAGAAAAAATGGGACAAACAAACTCATATGCATATAAGAGTTCAAGCATTACATGAACTAAGACCACCCACATTCTACATGTGGATGTTGAAATTTAAAAAGAAATTTCAGTCGATGTTGAAAACTTAAAATCATAAAAAAAATCTTACAAAATACATATCGTATAATAAAAAAAATCTTACAAAATTACTCAGATGAACTTTTCACCTAAAAAAATTGTGATCCACGGCTTAAAATTTAAAAGTTGTGCTATTATTTGGCAAACATGCTCTAATGTCATTCACTTCTCTAGCTTTCATCTCATATTGCAACTGTTGGCCAACATAAGGTTTTCTTCCGTTTGATTGCAAATGTGGGAAATTGGTGGAAAAAAAATGTTGTACAGGGAATTGATTTGCCTTAAAATTGTTTTATTGAGAATTGTAATTAATTGATTGTGTTNAAAAAAAAAAAAAAAAAAGACAAAAATAACCATACCTAATAATAAGTTTAACCTACTAAGATGAAGTGATGATGACTAATTTTACTCACGAACATTAGATATCCTTAGATGAAAAAGTGATTTTTCAGGATTCACTACCTTTTATGTAGGCCGGTTTGCAAGCAAAATTAAACATTTGTAGAATGAAAAAGATCCAAGCATACATATATAATTGGTACATAGTACTTCTACTTTCAAATGCAGCTTCATATTTTTTATTCTTTACAAGGGAAGATTTTCGCATTAGGGTGTTTTATAATCAAAGGCACCGAGTTTTAGGCATGCCATGGAAGTAAACGCTAATTTTAGATGGGCTTGAGCGAGTTCAAAATTAAATGTATGGTTATGCCTCGCTATCCGCATCGTATGCAACAAGTGCAACTTATGAGTTCTTCTATCTCGACATGATGTCAATGTAGAATAGGTACATTTCTACTCGAGATTTGACTACGATGATATAGACAATCAAAGGGGTTAGGATAGTAAGTGCACTTTTGAGCCGAAATTTTGAACTTGATAATGAGTCTTCTGAGTACCTCATGTCACGTATAATGAGCAAATATGGATATCATCATAGAATATCATCTCTTTACTCTGTACTCCGTATCTTCAAACACAATAATTTTTATTATTTGCTTCTTTTTAAAGGTTAAACCTGCCCCTCAATATACTAACTTTTTTTCGTTTTCAATAAAATGGGTGGCCTAATATTGTCAACAATCAAATTTTTTTGAACATAAAAAATAAAAATAGATGCTCATTGGATTGAATTGGAAAGAAGTTAGATTCTACACAAAATTAAACTAAAAGATATTGGCATGATGGGAAAGAGTTCATATCGAAAAGATTTTACTTTTATTTTTTTGAGTGGAGTCTATGTGGAAATTCAAAAGTAAGTTACTCACTCTATATTGACAGTTGGTAATGCGAGCATTGCTCATGCATTAGCATAACACAAATGGATGTTCATGAAAAATCCTACAAATCACGTCTGATAGTGAGCTCAACGTACCTTACTAACATAGAATGATGGTGGCATTATCTTTCGAACAATCAAGTAAAGTCCTGTTTGATGGTCATTATTTGATAAAAATAAGGTTTCGAATAGTGAATTTATGGAGAATAAAGAGTACAAAAAAGTTTTGAATTTACTTGCTGAATATTTTATTATGTGAATATGCGGTTGACAATGAGAGTATAGAAAAAAGAGTTTTGAAATAAATTCCATCAAACAATCCAATAGTATTTGAATGAGTATAAAATTTTAGTATAAAATAGAATGCATTATTTATATAGTCCATGTTTGGTAGGAATTAAAATCAAAATTTTATTTTAAGTCAAAATCAACAATTAATTTTAACCATATATTAGATTTTATTTTATTGGGCAAGCCTTATAGCATCTTCAACTTGTCTTGTGGGAGCAAATAGTTAGGCACCAACTTGTCCGTGTCGTGTAGTCTTATTTTTTGTTTATGTTGAAAATTAGGTTATAAATCTCCTTCTTAGGTCCTCCAATTTTTACTCGTCGTCGTCGTTGTTGTTAACGATCTAATAAGGTTTATTTTCGACCAGGTCATCGAACTGGTGTTCCGCGTGTTACGTTAACGGATTCCGTATTATCAAATTTCGCTTTAATAAATTCGTGCAACCCAATTCCTCACGTTTTCACGTCAAAAAAAAAATAGAACATCGATTCCTCACGTTTTCACGTCAAAAACGGCGTAATGTGCGCAATACAACATAACTTCCTCACGTTTTCACGTAAAAAAAAAAAAGGAATTGTTGCCACGTTGATTACACGTTGGGGGGCATTCTTGGGAAGAGAGAGCCCATGGTTTTGAAAAGTCAAATATGTCAAGCTCCAATTATCAACATTGCTTGAGGACATTGCATTTTTTACTAACTAGGTCCCACTCATGGGGTGTTGAGATTGCACTAGCACACGACACATGGCTGCACTTACTGTAGCAGAAATAGAAATGGAAGAAAAATCGGGTTTCAAACAGGCCCTAGGTTATAAATCTCCTTCTTAGGTCCTCCAATTTTTACTCGTCGTCGTTGTTGTTGTTAACGATCTAATAAGGTTTAAATCTCCTTCTTAGGTCCTCCAATTTTTACTCGTCGTCGGCGGTGTTGTTAACGAGCTAATAAGGTCGAATGCCAAACTTTCCGTGCGCATAAGTCATTCTTAGTTAAGAAATAAAACATTTTCTTTTTGTTACAATCAATAGTGTAAATTGTAAAAGGTAATTCTATTTTAAATATAATAAATAATATAACTAAGAATGATCATACACAATAAATAATAAGACGAGAATAAATAGCATTATTCATAATATAAAGTCGTTAAATAGAAAAGTTTTCATTTGGTAAGTGGATATTGCTCGTCCATGTGAATTAAATATTGCCAAAAAAAAGGCCCTACCCATTCTGTATGCTTTCCATGTGTTTTTTTGTGTACACAGACTCCCCCCATTTACAAAGCAATTTCACTACATGTGAGCGCTTAAAAATTAACTAAAATCCTGCAAAATACACCTTGAATAGTGAGTTAACCCCCTGAGATACTGTGGTGACTAATTTCATTCTAACAACGTGTAGATTTTTTTGAAATTCTGTAAGAGGAACACAATATAAAGGATTCAAGGAAATTCTATTTTGTCCAACGTTGCTTAACTGCGAGAATTAAAAAACAAGAAAAATACACAGAATAATCGACCAGACAAATTCACAATCCTCATTGTATTCACAGAATTTAAAATACACGGAGCTTGTTGAAGCACATTGAAAGCAATAATTACACATAGTAAAGATTTTACAAATAAACCCAAATTTGGAATTTGGAAACCAAACGGCAAGTTTACCAGCTCTAATACACAAACCCACTCATTTTCTTACATATCACACACACTATTAATGCGCGCGCACATACAAAAAAAAAAAAGAAAAGAAAAGGGAATCGTTGTAAAGAATAAAAAATACCAAGCTGCATTTGGGAGTAGTAGAGTGCACATTCCAAGTATACTTTGACAGTTGCTCGATCAATCGTATAATGCTCCATAAGTTACAAAAAACACCAGCCGAATGCATTCTCTGCATGACCTCTCGTACGCCATTATGATTCCTGGTTACATCTTTTCTCAACAGCCATTCAGATTTATCTTGACACACAGACATTTCTAGCATCCAGCTGCTTTTAGAAATTTGTCATATGGGCTTGAAGGTGGTAGTCTGAAGGACTGTTGTTGTACACATTCCTGAGAACAACTGAATTGATTTTGTTTCTGAATTGGATTGATGTTGGTTAACTTTACATCTTCCACAAGAGCTAATGCCTAGAAGAAAACCAATATCAGTACCAACTTGAAGAAAAGAACAAGCATAATGGATCAGGAGTAGATTTTGCCTATGTTTGGCTCATGTTTATAAACACCCAAGTCATATTTTATCCACACATTTCGAGAGAACCACAAATACTATCCATTTATCCACCACTTATCTCCATCTATTTATAAATTTAAACCGTTTATAGACACTTTCCAAACATACTTACGATCTCATGATAATAATGATAATATAAAAAGAGGCATAGAGATTGGCATGGAGTAACAGATCACAATTGGAAATAACTAATACAATTATCAGCTTATATTGTTTCCTTTTTGAAGCTCACATGTGAATATATTAGGAACCTTCCAAGCTTTCATACCGACCCCAATATCTGGGCCCTCTTGTGGGAACATTAAGTTTTAAATGGAGTTCAATAGTTCCATATGTTAATGCAGAACGTGTTCATGAGTAAAAGTCAATGAGTTCTACTTCCAAACTTGTGGATTGATAAACAATAATTATCCATTTATTTACTGGGCATCTGACAATGGGCCTAGACTTCAACGTAGAAAATGGACCAAGAAAATGAAATGAAACGAAAAATATAATATGCAGTTGCTAGTTTTCATTCTAATTATTTCATTGAGAGAGGCATCCTCACCATGTTTGGTTGAACAGAGTCCTTCCATCCATTTTCACCAGAAAAAGGAATTCCACTAGCCGCTTGTTGCAGCTTGAAACTTTGAAGTACTGACATTTTCTGCTGTTTACCAGTGACGAGAGCCTCACATTCATTCTTCACTTGATCATAAGGAATGGGTTTAGAGGACACTGGCAAGCTGGCAACTTGCCTGGCAGTTTCCAAAACCTGTTGATATCAAGAAATATTGTTATACTGATGAATTATGAAGCTCGTCCACTATTGATTTCCAACAAAAGAGTAAATAATGTATAATTTGAATGAAAACAGAAGGATAATTTAGCATTGTAAATTTGCAAGAGTACACAAGTTCTCCATAACTGTATTAAACTGGGGTGACGTTAGCACAAGTTACCCCTTATCTCATGCTAAGGAAGGATTGAGGCCTGTTAGAGTCCATTACATTGGGATTCAAGATCAATGTGGAGATCGATTAAAGAGTCTATAAATATAATCCTATTTTTGGACTTAACAGAGGTTTCACTTATTCAAGAAACAAAAAGTCCAAAACATCATGGCTAATCATTTACTCACCGATTCCACAAGTTGGTTAACGCTCAAAATGTCAAGCGAATTGATGGAGAGTGACGTTTTACGACCTGACTGACTTCCACCATCAGGAAATGAACCATCATCTGTCAATGCAACTATAGCCATCGCCTGATAAAGAAACAGTTGTCAGTCGGCATCAAAGACTAAATAAATATAGGACTTGGTAAATATGGTCTCGCTCTATAACCTCGTCAAGATCCTGGAACTCCATGTGAGCTAGTGGAGAACATGGACGAGGTGTGTCCATGAATAATGGAGGTCCCAGTGGATAAGCATTATCTGGCGAAAATCTCTGTAAAAGTTGCTCCTTTATATTTGACAACTCATCCTGTGGAAATTTACCAAGCGAGAAATTAATCACAAACAAGTCACGATGGTATTTGAAGAAAAAAAAAAACCTATAAAGCACAAGAACGACATGGTTACACCATCATGTAATTTTTCAAAAATAGGGATTTTCACAATTATTAGCGGTTTCCATAGTTTTATATCTGTTAGAGTGATCTCCCCATTGAAAATGATAGAATAAGCATAACTCTAATGAAGTATTGGTTTGATGATTACCTCTGACAATTTCCCATATTCTGTCATGTAGTGGGATATCAGAATTTCTTTTAATTGCTGATCACTTAATTCTATGTATGAGAGGGACCGAAGAGCAGCAACTTCATCTTCCTGTGATCCATAGCCTTTTGCTTCAGGTCCAACTGACAGGTTCTGAAGCTTGAAATCCTCAACCAATTTAAGATACGGATCAACCTGTCAAAAATATTTCCATAAATAATATCTTAAAAAATATTTGCCAAAATACCAAAGATATTTCAATTGAAAATCAGCAATCCATCCTAAGCTAAGAACCTCTATCTGAGAAGTTGCATAGACTTACTGTTTCTTCTGTTAATGATGATTCTACAAAGGGAATCAGATCCAGAAGATTGCCCACCCTGGCCGAAAATATGAGCATGTATGATGCCAGAGTAAACAGAGACCTCCTCTGCGAAGGAGGCAGACCTCCTGCATATGAAAGTTGGTAAGTTTGAATTATGAGAGGAAATCACAGCAAAATGTACCTTGTAAATGGGACGAAAAAAGAAGTTCAGAAGCAATAGGTTGAAGTGATGGAAAGAAAAGTCAAACTGCTGCTTTGTCATTCAGAATACCTACTGGCTACTGGGGATTCTTCGTACAGGCTGGCATTTGTTTCAATGCATATTCACCTGTTTGAGGACTTCCCAGAATGCCCATTACCTCTCAATTGCTGTGTCATCATTTAGGTAGCAAAAACTCTTTATTTACTTCGGATTTCATATCTAACTAAAACAGATATTTCTTTCTAAAGGTGAGACTCGATCTTCGTACTAGAATACTAATTCTGCTACTTGTAATGATCATCAACTGGAATATTATTTTTTTATCCCCACAAGATATCTCCAGTCATATGTTTTCATTATTGTCCAATTTATACAAATGCATTTGATTGTTTTTTTCTGAAGTTGGACCCTCGAATAAGGAGTAGAAGAGAAATCGGATCTCACAAATTGACTTTATTATTTTTATTTATTACTATTATTTCACAATCTAATGAATAGAATTAATCCATTAGAACATTTCCTGATAAAAGAAATGAATACTGGAGAGCATCTTATCCACCAAATGCATCATTTAATGAATTTCTTTGTTTTGAATATTTTATTGTACCCAACAAAAAATCCAACCCACCTTTTTCCAGAGAGATGCTCCTGAGAGAAAAGGCCAGTTGGAAACACTGCACCAGGGCCATGTGACTGGAATTCTGAAAGAACAATGATTTATGATATCAGAGGTCAAACAAAATTTTATAGAATATGAAGTATAAACTGCAGGAACAAACAGTGAAAGTATTACTAATTTAGAAAGAAAAGATCCGTGGCACGTCTAATGATTAGCATAAAGTTTGTATAGACCTATTCAAAAATGAGGAAAAGAAGTTCCCCGTAACAAATAAAACACCCAAACTAGTTAATGCAACTTCTGCACAATGTAAACACTTGACAGCTTAAATATAAACGGAACCTACAAGAGGCAACTAGGCCACTTCAGGCAGAATAGCCACTTCTTTCAGATCCAATAACATCACTAGAGGAATAGACAGGACCAGCTCACTGGTTTGTGTCTAGTCCAAGTAAGTTCAGTGTGCCTTCCAGCTCCTTGTATACTTTAAAATGTTAAATTGACGAAATATGAAGGTAGAAAAGAAACAGAACAATCAACACAGCTTTATAAGCTGTGCCCCAAAAGATTAGGTTTAGAGTTCCAAGAGTTTGCTGATTTCGAATTCTAATCTGGTTGGTACCAAACCAGAGTGCAGCTTGTTAGCTATCCTCAATACAGCTTTACAAGCTGTGGCCCAAAAGATTAGGCCTATAGTTCCAAAAATTTGCTGGTGCCAACTCCTTTTCCTTAATGATTTCTGATTTGGTCAGTGGCTTGGTGCAAACAGATCAGAACTTGTTAGTTATCTAGAATTCTAATTGTGGAATATCGCTAATTTATAACTATGTTTTACAGGTGAGACAACACCGTCCAAAGAGGTGACAGAGAAGAATAAAAACCTCACCATAAGCTACAAGATGCGTGGGAGAAGAGAAAGATCTATCTGTCATGAAGATTCCTAATCAGTCCCAATATCAAAGACAAAACCATCTGCGAAAAAAATTTGTGGACACCGGAGGTCATAGCTGGTGTTGCAACTGATGCAAAACATGGGAGCGGGTACAGTGGCAAAAGCAGACAGATAGAGCTACATTTTTTAAATTTTGACTTTTTGTACAAAATTCTAAAACTTAAATGAACCCTTGCCATTTAATTTTGTCTCATAATTCCCATAACCTATATTTCCTTTCCATTTCCCTTCTGTGCATTTTTTATTTTATTTCCTATCTCGTAATTCTCCACAATTTACATTTATCAAAAGTGATAATGAGCACAAAGAGTGTTTAGCAGTCCAAACAAATAAATTCCATTGACGCAGGTACAAGAGTCTTCGATTATGGAAGTTAGACGGAAGAAGATTCCTTGGTACAGTAGTGAATTTGACTCTATAGAGACGCAAACCCACTATACAAATTGTAACTTGAAATCCAAAATTTGCAGAGAACAAGAATAATCTGCACTGTGAATCTATGATTAGGCCACTTTCCTGTTCACTCTTGATGATCAATGCACCTTCCACCCCACCACCAACTGCAAGGTCATAATTTTTTAGCCTCTGGAATCTACCAGTTCAATTCCGTCCCTATGCTTAGCATTTATCAAAAGTAATAATGACCATTAAAGAGTGTTTTGCAGTCCAAATCAATAAATTTCACTCCATCTTGACGATCCAAGGCAAACTACCCCCACCACACAAACTGTGACTTGAAATCCAATTTTTGAACGAACTGAGAATCAGAATAATCTGTAAAGTGAATCTTTGTTTAGGCCCCTTTCCTCTTCTCTTGATGATCAATGCGCCTACAACCCTACCATCAAGTGCAGGGTCATAATATTATAGCCTCCGGATTCTGCCATTTGATTCCCTACCTACCTCTTTCCCTCTAATTCATGAATTCTATCATCTGAAATCAACTAGTCAGATAACCAGACGTATTACCATTTAAGAAAATGATGTCAATAGTCAAACCAAAATGCATAAAACTGTAAAAGTCGAGAATGGAAACAATGAAATGTTACTAAACAATCAAATCAAGTAAAATCATGAGCAGAAGCTAACCTTGGATTGAGTGAAAAGTAAAGCAATATGAAATGTACGTGCCATTGCCTCAAAATTTTCAGGAGTATTTCCTATCAGCATTGCCTGAACCCAGATAGATGAAAGAAGAAGACTCACTTGATGACTACTCAATCTAAGGGAAGTCGTTTCCTGCAAAGTGATTATGTAGACAGGAAAATAAAATGAGATTTCACATAAGGCATGCTAGGTTAGATTTGATACTTAGACATAATAAAATAAAATCCAGAGTCAAGAGGCGTGAGTTCTATCGTACATTTTTCCCATCAGCAGTAGCACCCTTAAAGCTATATGATTGACTTTGCTCCTCTCTTCTTTCTTCAATACCAGCATTCGATTCATAGTTGCTTTCATCATCAATTGAGAAACTTCCAGTATTCACTTTTTTCAATGCCTGGAGGGTTCCACAGTTAGGCGTTTGGGCAAGATTTCCATTATTGACAGACCATGGATTGCTAAAAGATGGCATAAGCACAGTGGAGAATATGCGGTGAGCCCCAACTCTCGCTTCGTGGTCTGGGTGTGCCATTGCCAAAAGCAAGTGGTGAAAGAGTGCATCAGGAAATACCTGAAAAGGGAATTGACCATAGAATAAGCCTCCATCCTTAAATAACCTATGGACAGAGGTAAACAAATAAATCATTACCTTCTTGCGATATGATACATTAGGAACAGAAGAAATAATTTGTGCGGTTCGATAAACAGCAGAGACTGTTGCTCTAGCTCCAACGATGCCTGTTGGAATGTTCTCTAGCACAACAGCCATTACATCGAGAATAGGCCCCACATCAGCAACCTATAAATTACACATAATGTTAGATAAGAATAAAATATATTATCCAAATAACCACGTGCCAATTTTTTCGACCATCATCCTACAGAATGACTTCAATTGAACACTTAAGAGTTTCAATTGTAGCATTAAGCCCATTGAAGTTGGTCAAGAATGTAATTTCAAATAAGAAAACGTAAAATGAAAAATTAACAATAATTAGATGAAAATCCCAATAATTAACATCTTGTGATTTATGAACTTTTTGATGCTAAAATGACTTTGTTATGAAGAAAAAGCTCCTAAATAAACTATACTCTGAAACTTAGTTTCAGCTGTATAATACTATTGACCGAGCTCACTGCTTTAGGTGTCAATGAACATACTACCACAACAAACTAAGCCTTATATGGTTATACCCAATAAATCATGGTTGGCTACGTGAATCCTTCTTCACCATTCAGCTCTTTTCGCTGCTAGATCTTCTGGAGATTTTAAGTAATAATAAAAAAAGTATTACAATGTACAAATTCAGGGAAAAGAGAAGCCATATTCTGTTCGTTTAAACTGGTAAACGTTGTCAACTGCATTTAACAGAAATAGGAAAAAGAAGGAAATCATGGAGACTGATGACACCACAACTGTAATAAAACCTATGAAGTATGGAGACTCTCCAGGCCCAACATGTCCATGTAGGAGATTTCCAAATATACTTGCAAATTAGTTAGGTTATTTTCTAACTTTGGCAATAAAGACAAGTTATGGACATACTCAGCACGTGTTAAGAACACTCTAAAAGTATTGGACAATATTGAGATCAAGATGCAATTCTAAACCAAAAAAAAAAGGGTTAGACAAACTTTTAAGTTCAGAAGGAGACAAAAATAGAAACAGGTTTTAGAAAGATGGGTAAAAACCACAGAGAAAAGAACAGCAAGTGATCGTCCAAAACTTGTGCACCCCCAATAACCTGTCATTGTTTGGACACTTTGATTAGGATTCATTTAAATTCCATAAACTGTAGCTTCTTCCATTGGATACCGTTCAAAAAAAATCAGTAACGTGGTTTGATTTTTAACTACCATTACAAACATGATTCTTTAAGGTTTTCAATTTTATCAATTACAAAAATAGAAAAAGGCTTTTAAATGATACAAAAGGAAAGGCAAACTTTTGAAAAAGGGCGTTCTCACAATGTCTATGTTCAAGGTAAAATATGTCAACTTACTATGATTGTTTCCATCATTCAAAAAGCCATCTCTCTAATAATTCGGTTTTTTCCATATTAAAAAGGGAGCAGCAGTTGGTTGGGGGAGCAAAGAAATTTATATAAGATTAACGCATAAAAGTGCTGGTGACAATTTTGATTTCAAGGGAAAAAGGTTCTAAAAATGAAATTCAGCGTAGCTATACGACTGATCTGTTATTAGACAACAAGAAGAAATCAGACGAACCAACTAGAACTCTGGGGAAGGGGTCGTCCAGGATTTACTTCCACCTCTGGTTAAACACTAAGTCTAACCGAAGTTTATTTCTTCATCCCCCACGAAATAAAATATGAATTGTAAAAGTTTTGGGCTTAATTTAGATAAAGATGGTAAATTGTATTGCGAATCTGATATATTTGATGTGCTGTGATGGATATTGTTAAAGAGAAGATCCAGAATTTTGCAACTGTAGATGGTGGAATGATAGTGTCTTCCTTCCTGAATCGTCAAATTTCTTCCTGTCCTTGTTCTCCCTTTTTACTTGTAAACCAGTTTATTATGCACAGTATGGGATGCCACTCATTTGGCTTGTGGTCCACAGTTGAATCTTTTGCCACAATCTTTCTCACAGATCTACAACAAGGATTGAAGGTTTTCTTCGGCTTGTGATCTTATAGTTTATATTGTTTCCGGATTTCCACTTTTTTGGAGGGTGTCTTAGTCTCTGCTGTTGTATTTTCTATATTGACATTAATATAAATTCACGTTCTTGTCAAAATAATATAAGGACAAAATAGAAGGCACAAATTTTGGCCTACATAATAGGATCTTCTTGATTGCCTAAGGATTGGGTCCTAGACCTACCCGCACAGCATCATGTAATATAGTGACTTGTATTTGTATTTTCTGCAAGCCAAGTGCACATTTGTGAATAATGCATAATCCTACTAAATGGATCGTGATGTTGAGTCGTTGACAATAGTGATCGTACATAATATGAACGTGTGACATTTACCAAAAAGAACACAGAATGTATTCATATCTCGTGTTCTGGCAAGATGCTGTGATGAATAAAACCTATTTGAGCCATACTAACCTTATCTGACAGTTGCCCAATGCAATTTCCCAAAGCAGATTGAAGATTGGGGTTCCATTTATCAAGTCCATCTTTAGGACTTGATGCTTCAGCTGAACATTGTATGCATTTTCTCAACAGTTTGATCAGATCAGTTATTGCACCCGTTATTGAAACTGAGGACTTCAGATTTGCATTCCTTGCAAGTTGTGCGGCAATGTTAACTATATTTACTTGCATATCAAGTTGTTTGACAACATTCTTGTGACCCAAATGCTTGACCAAGATAGAAAGTAACAGATGGGACTTGTCTCCTGGAGTTGAAAAAGTTGAGTTAGACTAAAAAAAATAAAAAATGCTAGTAAAATAACAAAGAGAATTGGTGGTATTTACAGGAGAGTATAAATAAGAATTAAGGTCCCAAGCATAACCTGATTCTTCCAACAAAGACTGCAGATAAATCAACACAGAACAGGCAAGTCCTTTCTCAGGCAACCAATAATTCTCAGTGTCAAAACAATGAAAAAGGGGTTCCAATACACGTCGAACAGTTGTTGCTTCCTTTGCCAGTTTAGCAATATTGTGCAAGCAAACCCTGGACCAATAAGACGGGCTTTTGGCTGTCTCCCTGTACAGTAGTGAATGAATAGAAAGATGTCAAGTGAACAACTGCACAAGTCATGCCACATACACAAATCAACTTATCCAGGTGACACAGGATCTTACGTTACAGATATCAACTCTGTTTTAGCACTAAAGAGTTTCGATATGGAAGAAATATTCTTGCTTATATCAGGGGAAGACGAGTCGTCATTCTCTGTTTTTAGTACTCCCTGCACCTTCTGCTCCAGAAATTGAGAGTTATTGCAGTCTTGTTTGACATTTTCTGAGTTAATTGTGAAATCCACATAGTTCTCCAGAGTCACTGAGATAATCTATAGCACAATTAAATAATTTCATACTGAAATCAGGAATACAAACAACAAATCTGGTATCATAATTCAGGAGACTAAATTTAAATTTACCACCAAAAGGCCCATTCAATATTTGTGAGGAAAGTTATCAATTCAAAGACTAGATGCAAAACATCTTTGTCGTTTTAAACTGTGAATCAAGGAGAAGACCAGCAGAAGAAGAGCATCTTACATGGTCGAAGTCCATCGAGATGTGGGAGTGCTCGCCCATAAACCTCACCTAAATGTGTTATAAATGCAATAAGAGATTAGGAAGTACGAAATCATAAGTACATTTTGCAAGTAAAATGACCAAAGGAGAATATAAATAATGTAACTACATGAAAGTATTATAAAAGTAACTTGAAAACTAAATTAAAGGAGCAAAGCATGAAATGGAGCTGACTTGAAATGATGATTAGCAGATGAATTGTTTGAACATTAAAGCAATACTTAAATAGAGGCCCAGAGAGATATTACAAGTAATATACTGATCTCTCTTACAATTAACTTTTAGTACTAATGTCTAACATCCATAAGAAACAGTATCCACAATAAGAAGGAAGCAAATAGTGCACACAGGTACCCCAGCCTGGTGATCAAATGTGAATTTTGGTACACACTTTTTTCTACCCCCTGGTGGTTTGTATAAAATGGGCAAAAACCTTCAATTTTTAATCAATCGTGCATATTTGTGGGACCAATTCAATTTGCTTCAGAATATCATTTGGAAAATAGATATAGTATAGATTTACAAAATTCCACCTCATTCATTATTTGCAATATTGGTTGGATAAAGTCACGAGACCAAAAATAGTCTCCTACTATAGGATTCTTAGTGACCAAAAAAATATAGCCCAAAGTTCTTCCTAATCGTGAAACAATGAGATTACACAAAACCATTGAAAGGGAAGGGGAAGGTGGAGCACAAAGGCAACAGAAAAAAAGCATACAAAGACTGCCAAAGTCTGCATTCCTCCTGCTCTTAAGCATAATGCTCTTTCATCATCTCCAAATTCCCGGGATAGTTGACACAACTTGGGAATAAGTCCTTCCAAATTGAACATATGAGTACTGTCCGTCTGCTTACGAGAACAAATAAAATAAAAGACAGTCAGTTCCAAATCACTGACACAATAACTGAAGTTGTGTAGGTAATAACAAATGCATTGATTGGTAAGAACTTCAATAATCAGTTTAATACTTTCCATTAACGTAGTGTCAATACCAAGAGCTGAGACCCTTTGTTAGTATTGTCAAACTAGTTCACGTGCATGTGAGCTATGCATGCTTAATAGCAAATATAATTGTTTTCACAGAGTAATTTAGTCTGCTTGTTAATTGAAGATGTACCTGGTTATTTATGAAGTCAACAAGGGTACTGCAACCAAGAGTCTGCATTTCGACTTGCTGTGTTTGTTCTAAAAGAGTTCGTATAATCCCCAAGAGACTGCTAGCAAAAAGTGGCCTGCTTGACAGGTGACAAGCAGCGCATTTGGATACAATCATGTCATAGATAAACAAAGTTGTATCTTCTTTTTCAGAAATCAGAAAACATATCATAATGTAACTCAGTATTCCACGCAGCATTTAAAAAACTAACAGGATTGCTGTTATGGCAGGAAATGGCATTAGAACCTTAACATAATAAGCATCACGTGTTTATACAAAATCATTTCACTTTATTTGATTGCTGAAAAGCGTTTATAAGTAGGATGGGTGGTGATGATAACAATATCTTAATGAACAGTATGAGATGGTGTGACCGCATGGGTAACATTTTGGAGATATATGGTGAAGCGATAAGATATTTATCTTTTTCCTTTCAGGCATGCAATTTGAGGGGTGGGTGTGTTTGAATCACAGACTCACAGTCTATGGTTGTTGGTGTTATCTTACTGATCATCATGGCATCCCAGCCGACCAAATTCAAACATTGCCACATCGCAAATAAACCAGAACAACTAGCCCTCAAGAAACACCATCAATTTATTTCGCAACTTCCTCTTGAAAGAACAGAAATTATTAGAAAGATGGTACAACTTCAGATCTTGAGATTCTGTTATACCATACAAGTTTTCTATGCTCACAGGATGAAAGACATTTCATGTTATACTATTACGCTAAAAGAGAAAGTTCTAATCCACCAATTTTATAAACACGACCACATGTCTCTTGTAATTGACATCAAGTTTTGTTAGCAAGTGCTGTCACAGTGGCTGCCGGATGTCATTCAGAAAGTGTCTCGAGTGTTACTAAAATCTACAATTGATGGATCATTCACATTTAGAAAGCCATTTTGATAGACTTTGGATAAGTATCAAATTTATAAAAAAGCTCTTAGCGTACAATGAGTATGGCTAAATCAAATTGTAATGGAAAAGAATTCACGGCTGTTTCCCCCTTTAGACATGAATAAAGTTTGTTTGTTTGCATCGAGCATTGAATTTGGATGATACCTCTATTATGATATATCAGATTATGACACAATAAACATGTTCTAATGTGATATTCATATACTCTATATATTCTCGAGGTCCATATCATGATCCATGAAAGTAGATAAATGGAAAATGTGGATATATAGATGTATGGGGGAGATGATAGGCCCCAAGTTATCCATTCATGCTTGTTAAGTCCTATTCTAGAGTGTTCCAATTCAGTTAGTTATTAGGGGTAGTTTGGGGAATAAAGTGGGGGAATATTAGTATAAATGTAATAGGAGGGTGAGCAAAATAGGCATGCAAAAATATTGAGTAAATTGGTTAATCCAATTAGGAGAGATCCGGGCCTCTCGAAAGCCTTGGAATTGTTCTGTTCACTTCTATTTCAATACAATATTCAGAGTTGATATTTTCATATACTTGGGTTCTTATCAAATTGGTATCAGAGCAACGATCTGAGGGCAATGGCAAAGGGTTATGGATTGGATTCGGTAGGTAGACTAGACATATCACTATTCTATGATGGCGATCCAAATTGGTGGCTAGGGAAAGCTGATGAAATTTTCGCAAGGAATCAATTGTCAGAGAGCGAAAAAGTGGAAGCTGCTACGGCATGTTGGTGCGGTGAAGCTTGGGAGTGGTTTTTATGGATTAAAAGCCGTCAGCCGATTCGAACTTGGGATGAATTGAAATGTTTGTTTCGAGATCGATTTGGCAAGAAAGAGGTCTCCATGGTGGAAGAAATTAATGAGGAGATGTCTAAAATAATGGAGAAGTTCGATTTGATGAGGAGAAAAATGGATGGGCAGGAAAGAGAGAGGAAGGAACACGAGACGACAGAGAACTCACCTAAGCCGGTGAATTCTAAAGCCACTTTGCCGTTAAATCTGATAGGACCGGCAGCGACCCCATCTAAAGCCACCTTCAATTTTGAAGCTCCACCCAAATCTGAGGAAATTGGAGCTTCTACACCCAAATCTGACGAAGTCATTTTGGCCGAAACCACCATCACCCACCGTGAGGAATACGCCGACACAGGAAATCGGAGATTGGGTTTGGAAGTGAATGGCGACAATGGGCTGAAGCCGTTGGGGAAAACTGAAGTCAGAAGGCTCAAATCACATGGTTTGGGCCAATTTTTGAAGTCGGCCCAAGGAACAGGAGGCACGACTGCATCTGTGGAGCTAGAGGTTTTGGGCTTTGATATGGTGGTGGTCCAACAAGAAGAGGACTGCAGAATTTCAATCAGGCTAGCTGAAGTTGGAATGGGCCTACATAAAATAAAGAGAGAAGGCCCAACAACTACATACTACCCTAAAAACCATCATATTACTCCAGTTTCAAACCCCAATCTGCTATATTCTGGGAGAGGATTATACCATCGGTGGAGGGAAAAGAATAAAATCGGGAAACGAGACCGTAAAAATAAAGGGCTGCAAGTTCTTGTCGCAAAAGAACTTGTTTATCCCTGCACACCTCTTAATGGCCAGAACTCAAAGGT